GCCAATGGGCGGAGCAGGGGGGAGCGCACAGCCGTCCGCAATGGATGTGGATAAAGAGGGGAGTAAGGGTGACGAGAAGAAGGACAAAGCGGCCGATGAGGCTGCTGTAGCGTCAAAGAGCGCAAAGCCGCATCCGGCGAAAGCGTCGCGTCCCGAGGCCCTAGGCGGCTCGTTGGACGTGACACTAATCAGCGACGTACGGGAGCGTGATCGGGATATTTCCGATGACGAGTTTTCCCCTACGAACGTGTGCATGTTTCCAGAATCATGGGAGGGCGCAATGCCGACCTCCGTGATTAACAAGGCCGGAGGCTTTGAGCAGTTTAGGAACGAGCTCATGAGGATCCAGAGAGTCCTGGATTCTCCGGCGCTGGTCGACCTTGGTAAGATCGATCTGGACGCTCTGGGCGAACCGCCCAAGGAGTAATCTTCACGAGAGTCACGTAGATGATGATGGGATGGGCCCATATGTGGACAAATTCTCATCAATGGGCGACCGCGACCTAGTGCCCTCAAAGCAGGAGCCGCCTTACTATGAGGCAAAGGCGTGGCGTACCACTGATGAGGAAATTGAAAGGATGAAGAGCCTTTTTCCATACTTTCGTGCCGAAAATTATCGGCTTATGTCCGCGAGTACTGGTCCCATAGGTACCAAGCCGCACGTACAGGGCGTCCTCCCTACAGGTGCGTCGTTGGAAGAGGCACTAATGGCAAAGCCCGGTGTGTGCCCGATTTCGAGCACCTACAACCTCACATACGAGGGTGAGGAGGTTGTGATTGATGCGCAGAGCGGGATAGCAGGCAGAATCGCCTGTCCTGCCGGTAACGACATCTTCCATTTTTTCCCCGAAATTAAGGATGTGTCGGCGATGGCTGGACGAAGCTCCAGAGAGTCGCAAATGCTGTTGGAAATTTTGTCGGGCAACACTGACCCAACGCGGCTGAATGTGAAGCCCGGTGAGCAGCCCCCCTTCTTATGTGGGACGGTTCCAGACATTCTGGGAGGTTGGATGTCGATGACTCTAATCTCAACGCTCTTTGAGGCCCTATACGGGATCCATAAGTGCACGAGTGTCGAGGTGGCGACCTGGGCGGGCGCTCTCGCGAAGGAGAGCCCAACATACCCTCCAGTCGAGCTCCTAATACGGACAGTCTGGAGGACAGATGGCACGACTGTGCGCCCGAATGAGGTGCTTTTTGCGCGGTCCACCCTAATCGGGAGGGACGTGCCGTTCAAAGTTTTCAAGCGTTGGGCGCTGCGTGACCGAACGCCTATCGGGCCATTGCTTAGGCCGATGGGAGCAGCTGAAGTCCCTTATACGGGATACGTGCTGCTGACGATGGCCGAGTATCGGTCCGCCCTCAAAACGAGGTGCATTCGGAGGCCTGGCAAATTCGCCATCACAGTTTTCCCCATGCGGCCTGAGCAGGTCTGCAGGGGGGAGATCATGATTGGGATGGAAGGCGCAAAGGTGCCTCTCCTCAAGTTGCCCAGCCCCAATAATGAGGGCGATTTTTATGTTGACGATCGCGTCAAATACATGGACAAGCGCCATGTCGTTGTGGCCATTGACCTAAAGTGGATGGCCATCGAGGAAGCCGCCGGCATCTATAAAACCCGACGCGGTTTGATTGCCGTGCGGGAAGAGATACATGCACCCTTCTGGCGCGCATGCTATCTGCACCAGGAAGGGGATGTAATATACATCCGTCCTTGGGCGGTTCGTGAGTTGAATGTTCAGGGACCGCCGAGAGGGGTATCATTTTCATGGGACAATGCTCCCATGCATGACTACTGGTGCCCTCGGTGCGCGCATTTGAACATGTATGGCACCATTCTATGCAATGGTTGCCATCTGCCGATTTTCTATCGTGAATGGGTGCCGGGCACCGTCCGTTCTCTGGTTAAGAATGGGCAGCCAATCTGGCTAGAGGGACTCAAAGCAGTCCGTGCCAGTAGCTGGTACGAAGGGGAGACCGACGCGTGGGCTCCTCTCATGGCATCGGTAAACCCGATCCGCGAGGTGGTCAGCTGTATGATCACCGGTTTGCGCTGTGCGCCGCACCTTGTGCACACTCCCAATGCGGATGTTGTGCAAGTCGCGTTTCAGGAGGTTGCAAAGGTCACCTCAAAGGACACTCACGCTTGTGTGCGTGCGAGTGATGAGGCTCTCGAGCGGTGGGTAGCGAAACAGCTGCTCATCGAGGAGAGCAATACTGGCGTCTCGATTCCAGACAATATGTCTGTTTTTACATATTTGATCGAGCACCCGCAGCAGGCGGCGCAATGGGGTCGTCATATGACGAGAAAAGGCAGTCTAAATTCAGCATTTGCCCTTTACCTCTCAGTGCATATTTTTGATGCCTACCGCATCGGAATTGAGGACGGGTATTTGGTTCCGCTGTATGGCCTAGGCGCCTCACGAGCGGACATCATTATGTCATTGGTACAGGCCGAGCGACGCCTCGCGGACTTCAATAGTGAGGATCCGAGTTTCGATGCCTCCACTGTGCTTGATTGGAGTATCGACTCTCTGCGGGCCAGTGGTGGATCCATCACGGCCCCAATTGAGTATGCTGAGGCATACATTTATGTCGAGGACAACAAGGTTGACATGGTCCCCGCTGCACGGCGCGACGGCCAATGCGCCATTGTTTTTGCTGACCCGCCGGCTGGGAAACACCACAGGCGGGCAGCCACTCCTAGGGGAGACCAACGGTCTGCTACCCCGCGACCTGAATCCAGGTCAAAGGGGGATCAGCAAAAGGGCAAAGCCCCTGCGCAGTCCTGGCCCAAGGGTGGAGGTCACAAGGGTGACCAGTTTCCAGGAAAGGGCCACAAGGGTGACCAGTACAAAGGCAAGGGTGGCCAATACGGCTACCAACAAGGACAGTTCGGTCGTGGCGGATCCGCCAGATCGAGAACTCCCACTGGCGGGTATCAGCCTGATGCTCGCGGGTCGGGATTCAAGGGTGCACAGGCTGCCCCTTACCGCCCCATACCCGTAATTCGGGGTGGTGGCGGGATCCGGGCACCAAAGAGTGCCCGGGTATGGGGTCGCGAACCCTGGTAGCCTAATCGGCTTTGGTTTTCTTGTTCATTGCTTTTCAACTTCAACATGGCCAATGCGCCCTTCCAAATTCACTTCCTCTCTTTGTACAGGCGAGGGGGGTGTTTTTGGGGGCATGTACTTTTATCATAGCGTATGTCATTTCATGCCGATGTCCAATGCGACATTTGGCTCAAGCCTTTAATTCCGGCGACTCGACTTGCCATAGCTGTCAAAAGCGCCTCCAGCGGCGACGTACTGGTGCGTGGGCAGCAGCTCCACGCCCCAGACCACGGCGGTTGGGTGCTCTTGGGCGTGGGTCAGGTTTGGGTTGGGAATTGCTCTGTTGTTGCTGCTCCGCTTTTGCTTGGTTAATTGCTTTGCTCGCTTGCTTGCTGCGCTCGCTCGGTTTGCCGCGCTGGTCCCCTTTCCTGTTTGGGTTTTGCGGTTAAACAGGATCCCCCGTTTGTTATCTGTGTGGTTCATTGCCAGCCGAGGGCACCACTTTGCCCTTGGGACTGGGGGGCTTAAACTGTCTCTTCTTGTTGGTGGGTTAGGGCCTGTTTATTCTCTCCCGAAATACTGTTTCAAACCCTTTCGCAGTTATCAAACATGGGTGAACAAATCCTTCATTCCCATGACCAAATCACAAGGATAGCGGATTGGACCCTCAGAAAGCGTGACGCCTCTTCCATTCGGAATGCATTGGCAGTGAATTGTCCAACTGTTGGTATTTGAGGCTTGTGTCTGGTATGCCAGCTACTCACCCAACTGGATGCTTTTTTAGGGGGGGTCCATACCCTGACTGAATCCTCGTAGTTCGCGCGTCTAAGGGAGAGTACTTCCCCCCGAGGAAAGCCGCCGGACTCCGGGCCGTGTCCTTTGACGTTCAGCTTGCGATGCGGTTCCCGCGGTAGGTTTCCGGTTTTGGTTTGGAGTGAAAGGATGGCATCGCGCTGGTCAAAGAGTCTGTTTCGCATCAACTCGCTTGCTCAAAGACTTAGCCTCATGAAGAATTCATCCCTTGTGTGTGCCCCACATGTTTAGAGGAACATCTTTTGTAGGGGGACTTGCTTGGGTTCCATATTTGCTCTAAGATCCTTGAGCTCACCTCGGAGTGGCCTCAGCTTTTGGGCTGCAGGTCTCAGTTTCAATGCGACCTTTTGGGTCCATTTATTTCGTCCAGCTCCCCAAAGGTGAACCTATTCTTTCCGGGTCCCTTGAGGGCAACTGCCGTTGTAACGTGTTTTAGTTTCGCTCTATCAGCCAAGGGCCCCAAATGGTTGAGTTTTGTTCTCAGATTTTGTGGCCACGTGAGCATGGGAGAAGCAGCTAGTCAAGCTTTTCAGAAAGGATCCTGAGGCTTGACAGTGACAAGTAGCCACACATTCTCACTTCATGGAGGAGCCTCCCCTCACAACCCACTTGCTGCAGCCCAGGAACGGGTCGGATGGGGAATGCGGAACGTAAACCTCAAACCGTGGGGTTTAATGACCCCAGCTAGGCTGCAAAATTGGGTGTTCATTTCCCAATTTCTGCCACGCTTTCGCTTTGTTTTGCTTGGTTCGCTGGCATCCAGGGGCAAGATTCGCTGGCAGTCGGCGCTTCAGCCCAAACACCTCCCGAGGGGGCCCAGACATCAGCGTAACTGATGAAACCGCAAGCAGAGAAGCTCTGGTTGATTTTTGACGGGTGTCCCCACTAAAAGTGGTGGGGGGGGTTTATGAGGGAACTTCCCCCTAGAAATAGAACAGGTTGATTAATCCCGGGTCAACATTAGGTGTTTCTTAGTTTCCATTCTCGGGAACCATTTCCCACCCGAAAGTGACGATCGGATTTTTGCAGCACTCCTGAACTCAACTTCGAGCTTCTGGACTCTGGTCACCTTTTTTGGGAAGACCCTTTTCCTGGCAAACAACACAAAGACGGGGATCACGGCGACTTCTTGGAAATCGGGTTGCGTGGCTCTCAACCGCGTTGATTGGGCAATCGGAGCGATGGTTCGATGCTCTACGGCTTGAGCTCTGGCGTAGCCTGCCTGCTGCTGCTGGCGCTACAAGGGCAGCTCGGCCTTCGGTTCTTTCGGCGGGCGTTCGGCGGGCGTTCGGCGGGCTTTCGGATCGCATGTGACGGGGGTGGTCCAAGATATAAGAAGTCTTCAAGCGGGGTAAACCTCTAAGTGTTTGGTGGACACAAATCCCCAGCCAAATGACGTGCAAAGGGCTTTTTGTGGAGAATCCCCTCTCTGGACACTGATGCCGGCGATGCCGCCTTTTCAAGGGCCCCTTTTGAACAAGCCCTGCCATCAAAGCCGCAAGAAACCCTTGTTGAACCGCTGCACGGACCGAGCTCTGCAGCTGGGTCTGCTGCTCCACTTCTGTGCATTGGCAATGGGCAACACGGGTGTACTGAACAGTGCATGCATTTGCACATGCAGTTGCACAACATTGGGAATCGCATTGTTGACAACACATGTGTGTGATAGTGGCTGAACCCCCCTGAGTTCCTGGAGATGATTTTGGGCTACAGGGACCATTGTGCGGGGTTAGCTCCAGCAAATTGAATTGGCTTTGACGATGAGGGTTTCCGAGCCATTTCCCGTTTTGGAACCTCGAAAAGTGGCAGTTTGCATGGAAACCAGTGAGTTGCAACTTTTGATTTGGGAAAATCCGGTGACCCCGGTAGATACCATATTATAGTTCGCCCAGGAGCCTTGGCAGTTCTTCACACGGCCCAGGTTAGTCACCTTCCTGCATCTCGGCTTTCGTGGGTGGCCTCGTGGGGCCTTCCCTGCAGAAAATGGGCGTGGTTCCTGTCAAGAATGATCCCCATGTTCACTAAAAGCGAGCCAGAACAACCAAGCCCTGGCCCTCCCAAAGAAAACCAAGGGAGGTTGTCTTAACAGTTCGAACAAACTCGCAACTGGTAGCCATTGTGAGGGGGTTTGCTTGGACTCTCGCCTTTCTCGCGCTGAACATGTGGTATTTTCCCATTCGGCAGGGCTGTGGGAATGTGTTCTTTTTCATCGGCACCTTCTCTATTTATCAACCCAGGGGTTTATGAATCCCTGGTTCCCATCATTCCCCTCCCACTTTTGTCGGCTTCTGATCAGTGCTTTGGTGTGGGGGTTGGGAGGTTAGGAAGTGGTGTCCCGTTCTTCTTGCACAACACCACGGTTTCAACCCCCAAGCCACCAATCCAAACGTGAAGAATCAGCCACCGGGAAGGCGAGTCAAGGCATATCCAGAAGACATGGCTCAGTGATCGTTCCTTGACCCTCCTGCAAAAAAAAAACCTCAGGAGATTCCTTCTGAACGTGATGGGAACACCGGAAGGCCACCAGACCCAGCGGAATTCTGGGGTTCAGGAAGCTACTTCATGCGCATCGCGCCCGTCAGATGCTCCGCAAAAAAGAAGCTGGCCGCCGGTTGGGGTTGGGGTTGGGGGGTGGCTAGCGTGATAAGGATGGGTTTGGGGCTTGGGGTTGTGGGTTGCTTGATTACTTGGTTGGGGTTTTGGGGTGGGCTTCTTTTTTTTGTGGGGGGGGGGGGTGGGGGGTGTTGAGGGGGTTTGGGGCCTTGGGGGAACACAGTGGGAAGCTGAGCGATCAGGTTGGCAGCATGAGATCCTTGTCGTGTCCATCCGCTAAGCTAAGGTACCTGCACCATGGCCTGCCGGCGCGTTCCAACGTCGTCCAGGCACCTGAACGCTGATCTGAGAGGATGGGGCCCAATAATGCTAACGACCCGGCAGCTGGGTGAATGCAGATTCGTCCATTTCGCTGATCATCCCCTTTACTTTCCTCAGTCCTGAGTTTCTGGACGTCAAACTTTTGGGAAGGCTGTGTTGGTGGGAAAAAAGAAAAGTTTGGACTTTCTTAAGCTATCCACTCAGGAAGTGAACCTGTGACGTTGACCATGGGCCACTGACACAGGGGTCCGATTCGAGTTCAATCTGCGAATCACGGTCATGGGTTCGTTTCGCTCGTGCCGTCGGAATCAGATGTTGCTGTGTGGGTTCCCATAGAATGGTCAACATCTAGCATGGCGGCTGGACAACTGGGTGAATGATAGTAGACTTGTTGCCTTGACCCCAGTTTGAGAATCTCTAGTTGATGTGTATACCCATACATATACAAATACATATACATGCATACATATACCCATACACCTGCATGCATGCATGCATGCATGCATGCATGCCTGCATGCCTGCCTGCCTACCTACCTACCTACCTACCTACCTACCTACCTACCTACACATACCTACACACACCTACACACACCTACACACACCTACACACACCTACACACACACACACACATACATACATACATACATACATACATACATACATACATACATACATACATACATACATACGCCGTACATACGCCCACACACACACACCGCCCATGCACTCACGCATCATTACATGCATCGTCGTCGTCGTAGAAATGGTACATGCAGCCACCTTCATTACGTAAATACCTTAGGTACATGCATTAAGTAGGTACATACATACATGCATTAAGAGTGCAGCCATACACACGTAGAAGATACACACACACGTACATGTATGCAGCAAATACATACATACATGCATGCATACATACATACGTAGACATACATGCGTACATGAGTACATGCGTACATACGTACGTACATCACATACATGCATGCATTACACACATCGTAACATTAGTAGTGCGTAAGCCACACACCAACATTACATGCGTAAATGACCAAGCCACATATAGACATTGTACATTAAGTAAGCCGTGTATACACAATACGTTCAAATACATGTGTCAATATCTGCTCATACACACAACCCACCTGTACACACAACACACATGACACCTGACACACAGGCAGCACACACACACACAAACCATATGACACCTGACACACAGCACATACCACCTGAGACCTAGAGACACACACAGCACCTGGGGACCTAGGACCTGGACACAAGACCACACACCTGACACACAACACACACACACAGCACACACCACACAAACAAGCCACTAACACACACACACACACAACGTGCTGGCGCACACTGGACACTTGGACCACACGGGCCACGGACACACGGACACACACACACGGACACACACGGACACACACAGACACACGGACACACACACAGACACACGGACACAGAGACACGGACACACAGGACACACAGACACACAGACCTGCAGACACACACCGACACACACAGAGACCACAGACACACACAGACACACACACACACAGACACACAGACACTGTATGAACACACAGACACACACGCAGACACACACACACACACACACACACACAGACACACACACACACAGACACACACACACAGACACACACACAGACACACACACACACACAGACACACACACACAGACACACACACAGACACACACACACAGACACACACACACAGACACACACACAGACACACACACACAGACACACACACACAGACACACACACACACACACGGACACACACACACACACACACAGATACACACACAGACACACACACACACACAGACACACACACACAGACACACACACACACACGGACACACACACACAGACACACAGACACACACACACACAGACACACACACACAGACACACACACACACAGACACACGCACACACAGACACACACACAGACACACACACACACAGACACACACACACAGACACACACACACAGACACACACACACACACAGACAGACACACACACAGACACACACACACACAGACACACACACAGACACACACACAGACACACACACACAGACACACACACACACACAGACACAGACACACACAGAGACACACACAGAGACACACACAGAGACACACACACAGAGACACACACAGAGACACACACAGACACACACACACACACAGAGATACACAGAGACACACACAGAGACACACAGAGACACACACACACACAGAGACACACACAGAGACACACACAGAGACACACACAGAGAGACACACACAGAGAGACAACACACAGAGACACACACGAGACAGACACAGAGACAGACACAGAGACAGACACAGAGACAGACACAGAGACAGACACAGAGACAGACACAGAGACAGACACAGAGACAGACGCAGAGACAGACACAGAGACAGACACAGACACACACACACAGACACACACACACACACAGACACACACACACACAGACACACACACAGACAGACACACACACACAGACACACACACACAGACACACGCAACACAAACACACACAACACAGACACACACACAACACAGACACACACACAACACAGACACACGCAACACAGACACACACACACACAGACACACACACACACACACAGACAAACACACACAGACACTCAGACACACACACACAGACACACACACACACACACACACACCACGCCCACACCCACACGCCCACGCCCACGCCCCACGCCCACGCCCACGCCCACGCCCACGCCCACACACACGCACACGCACACGCACACGCACACGCACACGCGCACGCACACGCACAAGCACACGCGCACGCGCACGCACACGCACACGCACACGCCCACGCCCACGCCCACGCGCACGCGCACGCGCGCGCACGCGCAAGCGCAAGCGCACGCGCACGCGAAAGCGCACGCACGCACACGCACACGCACACCCACACCCCCGACCACACCCACACCCCCACCCCCCCACCCGCACCCGCACCCGCACCCGCACCCGCGCCCGCACCCGCACCCGCACCCGCACCCGCACCCGCACCCGCACCCGCACCCGCGCCCGCACCCGCACCCGCACCCGCACCCGCACCCACACCCGCATACGCACACGCGCACGCACACGCACAC